CAGGGAAAGAAGTTAAAAAGAATGGTAGTGATCAGAAAATAAATTATGAAAGGAAAAGGATGGCAGACAATAATCAGTGTAATGTTACATTAGAAAAGTTGCATACATCATAAACTGTTCAGAGCAAGCAAAAACTAAAACTGAAAAAATAAAAATTATAGTTAAGGCAGCTACAAAGTTTTTTAGTGTCAAAAACTTGTCTTGGGAAAAAATTCATGATGAGCTCAGGCATGGGGAAGGATCTCTGGAAAATGAGGCCTCTCAAATCATTACATAACTCTAATATTACAATGGGACACTCGCAGTTTATTAGCAAATGGTCAGGAATTTAAAGGCTTCATTAAAAATTTAAATAAAAAAACAGATATAATATGCATTCAGGAAACATGGCTCAAGCCATCATTACAGTTTAGTATTCATGGTTACTCAATATTACGTAAAGATAGAACAAGTGGGAATGGAGGAGGATGTGCCATATTTATAAAAGGAAAAGTTAAATTCATTCAGCTCCAAATAATATCAGATTTAGAATTTATTGCAGTAGAAATTTGGACAAATGAAGGGAATCTTAAAATTGTAAATTATTACAATCCTTAATAGAATCTTTAAAATAGAAAAGATAAAATTTGAAACAATATTAGAACACTGGTGAGGGAAAATAGTTTGGTGTGGGGACTTCAATGCACATAGCACTTTATGGGGAGATCAAGATGATTATAATGGAGGAATTTTAGAAGAGAACATTGAAGAAAAAGAATTGGTAGTTTTAAATAACGGGGTAGGTACTCGGGTAGACTTGGTAAGAGGTAAGGAATCGGCTATTGATCTGACTTTAGTTTCTCAATCTATTGCTAATAATTGCAGTTGGAAAGTCTCTTAAAATAATGAATAAGCATAATACAGGGTGTTGTATTTGTGGGAAATTAGAAATTATCCAACATATTTTTTTTAGAATGCAATAAATATGCTCAGGAAAGAGAGATGTTGTGTAGAGAGTTAGACAGGAATAAAAGTAAACTAGATATAAGGGAATTGTTTCAAAGGTCATCTGGGGATGTAGTTTTTGGGAGTATTTTTAATTTTCTAAGAAGAACGGCTATTTTAGGGAGAATATAATAGTTTGTCTGATCCATACTCCATTCTGGAAGGTGGCGGTAATGCCCCTATAAGTTGTTTGCCAACCGCCATTAAAAAAAAAAGAAGAAGAAGAAGACAGTTTATTTATACATTTTTTTTTTACAGTGGAATCCTTAGGGCAGTTGCACAGGGTGTTTATGTGGGTATTTATATAGATGGATATTTATCAGGGTATTAGGCGTCGGAGTTATGAGTCCAGATCAGTTTGTTATTGACATGAACACCCAGGTATTTAAAACTCTCCACTGTTTATATGTCCTGCCCCTGGATGTTCCAAGGGAAGTGAGGTGGGGGCCTTCTCCTGAAATCGATCACCATCTCTTTGGTCTTACTGGTATTAAGACACAGGTGAACTTCCCAGCTGATTTCTTTTTAAAATCAGGTGACTGTTTGGACATAATTAGGTATTTAAATGACCTTTTATAAAATTATTTAGGAAAAAAGGGTGAAATTAAACTTCTAGAATGATACTGATCTCTTCTTGGATAATTTGTTGACTAAATTTAGAATTCAGGTCTGTAGCAGAAAATCAACAAATTTAAATGAGCTGTACTAAAATATTACTGGAGATGTGTGAATTATCAAAGTGTATCTTGTGGGGGTGTATGCATAGACTTGACCAAAAGACTGTTTTTATTAATAATAATTACAGTTTCTCTTAAGCGGATCCATTCTTGAACAAAATCAAATCAGAAAAATACCTTAATTATTAAGATATTCATAAACTACATAAAGTTCTTATAAACAGTAACCAGGTTTTGCTTTTAAAATAAAAACAATTTAAATTGTTTTTTGCGTTTTTAAACATCTGAAGCATTTATGCAAGAATTTGCATATTTTTATATTTAAATCTTAACTTTCATGCCCTACCATTTTACAAACACTCACCAAGATAATTTTACACGATTCAAATCTATGAGGCAAAAAGACTGATTACATAAATTTCTGAATTAATAATTTCTGAATCCCATGAGAATTAACAATATCCAGAGGAGAAAATGCAGTCGATAAATGCTAAAGAGGGCAAACAGAAACAAACTAACTAAAAAGAAAAAAAGCTGTGCAGTGAGTCAGTTACTGACAAAATGAGGGATGAGAAAAAACTGACAACCAATGAAGGAGGTTTATGTAATAGATATTTCAGTATGGAAGCCACAGACCTGTATTGATTTCAGCATTCTAACTTTCTCTGCAGGTGTGAAGGATTGTCTTAAGTGTCCAGCTGGTTTCTACTGTCCAGAGGGGACAAGTGACCAGGTGCCCTGTCCGCCAGGGTCCTTCAACCCCTTAGAGGGGCAGGATGAGGTGGCTGATTGCAGGGAATGCTACGCTGGAAAAGCCTGCACACAGATAGCCTTACGGGCTCCTGATGTAGACTGCATGCCTGGGTAAAGAGCCTGTTCAGAGGCGTGAAAATCTTTTTCCATCTAGAATTCTTCTGTATACTCAAAGGTTTGGTCCTGTAGATATGAATAGTATGATCAGTTCTAAGGAATTTATCTCTCTTCATAGGTTTGTGTGCCCTCCTGGTTCATCGAAGCCTAATGCACCTGCCAATGCCTGCCCACCAGGAACATTTAGCAATCGCATCAATCTGACAGACCAATCACAATGTCAGCTGTGTCCGGCTCGATACGCCTGTCTAAGAGGTTCACATTTTTTGATCTGTTTAGCAATTTTAATAGATTTATAACAGAAGAAGTAAACATATATATAAAAAAAATTGATTTCAGGATTATTATACACCTTTTTTCACTGTTATGCATAATTTATTGTGGTTTTAAACCTGAAAATTTAAAAAACTCCATAAAACACAAATATTTATATATATATATTTCAAAAGGATTTAATTATCATTGTATGTCATGCATCTGCAGGAATATTTATATTGACTTTTTACAATTCTGCCATATTATTAGGAACAGGCGGCATCCAAAGACCACCTCTTCTTTGTTTTGCTGGCCACTATTGTCCCCCTGGGACAATGTTTCCTACGCAGTACAAGTGTCCTGTAGGGACATGGAGCAGTCAGAGTGGACTGGAGGCTGAAACAGAGTGCCAGCCCTGCCCTCGAGGTTGGTACTGCTTGGCAGGGTCTGCAGCTCCATCAGGCCGATGTAACTCTGGACACTACTGTCCTGAAGGTAAACCATAACAAGTAGAAAGCATTGGCAGTAATTAAAGCTCTTTACTCAAGATAAAGGACAATTCAACAGTATTTAATGTTTAAATCTCTTATTCTATACTTTTTAAAATCTTCCATTTGTGCTGTAGTCATCAGTCATGTATTCAAATTATGGTGATGTTGCCTTCTCAGGGACAGCATATGGCTTCCAGTATCCTTGTCCCCCAGGCACTTACAGCATTCAAATGGGCAACAGATACATAGAGGACTGCTTGATTTGTCCCGAAGGCTCCTTCTGTCAAATGGGAACCTCCAAACCGTCCCCTTGCCCTCCGTACGTAAGCTGAATATCAGATAGAAGATGTTCATCTAAAGAAAAGATTAAAGCGTCTACCACTTTTAATTCAGTAAATTATTTCCACATTTCCTCTCAGCTCTTCATTCCGCCGCCTGAAAGGAGGTCGAAGGCTGGAAGACTGCTCTCCTTGCCCTGCTGGCTATTTTTGTCCCCACTCAGCCACTATCTACCCCAGAGTCTGTGGAGCTGGCAGCTACTCTGTAAGACCCCATTAAACACAATCCTGTTTGACTCTGCCACTAAAATCACTGGTTGAAAGCATCACTAGTAGATTCCCATCACTCCTGAAATGGTTTTGATTGTCCTATTTTTAGATTACATTTACCACCCACATGCATTCGTCTTATTACTCATCTACTGTGTACATCTGTAAATGCCAGCAGGAGGAATAGTAAAGTGTTATGTTATAATATGTCATAATTTTATCTCTTAATTTGAGGCAATCTTTATGCTATAGAATTTTCCAATTCTTTCTTTTTCTTAAGTTATCGGTGGGCATTTTAATCTCTTTCACTTTGACTCACTGAAAGTTTTTTCTCATTGTCTTGTGTGTAGGATGAAGGCTCTGTGGAGTGCTCTCCATGCCTACAGGGTCACTACTGCAGTAATGAGACCACAAGCGAGGAGGCCATGCTGAGTGTCATGGTTTGCCCACCTGGTTTCCTTTGCTCACAGGGTTTGGCCAGAGACCCTCAGAGATCAGCCACGCTATGTCCTCGAGGTTTCTACTGCCCTGGTGGAGGCATTGTGAGTAATATGTGGGTATTATGGGTAAATGATGAAGCTGCTGTTAGTATTAATAAAAGTATACATAAACTTTTATCAAGAAACCTGCAAATTTGATTGCACAGGACCCTAACCCCATCCCGTGCCCTAATGGGACATACAGTGCGTCTCCTGGTCTGCGTGATGTATCCCAGTGTGTTCAGTGTCCCGAGGGGAAGTATTGTTACACCCAGCTGCCTCAGGAGCAGCCAATCACCAAGCCTGTAAGAAAAAAAAAAAAACAGTAATAATGATTAAATATATAAGTCTGTTTGGTAAAGATGTGTAAAACAAACACCTTTTATTAATGTATTCTTTGACTGCAGAAGCCAAATATCACACTTGACAAATTAGAAACAAATTAATGAAAACAATATGATACAAATAAAGAGGAATAATACAGAAGTCATGCTCTTTTTAGAAATACTTTTTATGTTTTATAGGGTAGAGTTTGTTTCTTCAGTAAGGCACTTGTCTTCTTCTTTGTTTTTAAAGATAAAAAACTGCTCTATACATTTAATGTACATATTATGTAGAATCAAACATTTTGTTAAACTGCACCAAGTTATAAATATGTGAGTAGTTTTATCAGCAATGGTCTTAATTGGTTTGTCTTAATGGATTTTGTTGGAAAAAATATAGATTTTGTGCGCATTAATTTTCCTGTTGGTTTGTTTTGATCAGCATAGTTTAATCCTGAACTGGTTTCAGCACCTATTGGTTTAGGGTATGCCCTCAGTGAACAATGGTGCCTGCTTGGCTACACCTATAAAAAAAATTCCTGGAACCGCTACTGCAAACAGGAATAGGTTAAAAAATAATTAAAGGTCAAACACAAATCAAACATGCAACTAGAAATGCTAAAATATTTTTTGGGTTTTGTTTTTCTTTTCCTATAGATACTTAGTAACACACAATATATTTTCATAAAGCTTATAGTTAGAGTGGCTCAGGTTATCCTGTGCTATCTCTATAGTTATGCTGCTATAGACCTAGACTGCTGGAGGACATAGGGACCCCTTTTTCAGTATTCTGCCTCATTCTAACTCTATTCTGACTAAGTTCAATGTCTACCACTGTGCTCTCTCTGTTTTTTTCTCATAGTAGCTTCATCTGGTCTGTTCTTGTTTGGCTGTCACACCAGCTTGGAGAGAAATATCAGCTGTGCTGCTGCCATCAACACCACTGTTTGTAGATGTTCGAGCTCGGCCTGCTTTTCAGAGTAGTTCTGTTGACTGGCTAGATGTGCTCTCTTTCATTCTCTGATGTGGCGACTTGCTTGGAGCTCAACTGCTGGGATGTGTGTTTCCTGGACAGGGCTGTCTGTGGAGCTGGTTGACAGTTGCCTTTTGTATCTCTGCTTCTTTCTGTACGTCTGCTTCTGTCTCTTTTAACCCCAGTCAGCCGCTCACACTGAGTCTGGTTCTGCTGAAGGTTTTGTTTTGTTAAAAGGTTTTTTTTTTCCTCTCCACTGTCGCTACAAGTATGCTTAGTGTGAGGGATTACCTTTGAGTCAATTAGTTGATGCAATCCACTGGTTTTTCTTAGATAGAAAACTTTGAATCATCTTGGAATCTATGTCTTTTTGCACATCTTTACCAGCGTTCTACACATACAATACCTTTGGAAAAAAAAAATAACGGTTAATGTATATTCTTAAATTTAAGACAGAGCCATGTCCCGATGGCCACTATTGTCCGCCAGGGACCGGCCATCCCCACACCTACCCCTGTCAGGTCGGCAGGTTCAGGAACAACACATTTGGTCACACTGGAGAGGCCTGCGTTTTGTGTCCATCTGGACATTTCTGCAACAAAATAGGCACTGATTCGCCTATACCTTGTCCTCAGGTGGGACAAACAGAACATTTATGTTCCTGGAATTTACAGTTTTTTTTTTTCTAATTATATAAAAAATAAACAAAACTAAAACCAGTTTTCCTTTTTTTTCATCACTCATTTCAGGGGTTTTACTGTCCAGATGGCTCTTCTACTCCCAGGCCTTGCCCTGAGGGAACCTACAGCTCACATTTTTCCCTCAGTGATGTCTTAGAGTGCACCCCATGTGGTGGTGGCCAGTATTGTACTGGTTTTGGACTAACAGAGCCTTCTGGAAGCTGCAAGGAGCGTTTCTACTGCAGAGTGGGAGCCAAGTCCGCAGTGAGTTGATACTATTTCTGTGAACGTTTTTTTTTAGAAATATCAGGATACATATTTCAAAGCTTAACTAATTAAAGAGACATTTTCAACTCATGTATCTGAGCCCTTTTTTTCTCTTCTAAGACTCCAGTTGATGGACCAACAGGAGGTTTATGTCCCCCCGGAGGTTACTGTCCTCAGGCTTCAACCTCTCCCCTCCCCTGTCCGTCTGGCACTTTCAGCAACAGTAGTGGCCTCAGCAGCCCTGAAGAATGTATTAGCTGTCCACCTGGGTAATTCACCTCATGCTAACCCCTATTTCTAATATGTAGAAAATATATGATTTTAATCAGAATCACTTCCTGACTCTTTCTATCTCAGGTTTTATTGCTTAGGTTCCAACAATACCTCACCCTCAGGACCTTGTTTTCCTGGTTTCTACTGTACTGGGGGATCTTCTTCACCAGTACAGAATGAAGTAAAAGAAGGTTTTTATTCCTTGGAGGGAGCAGCGAAGCCAGAGCCGTGTCCTCTAGGCACTTTTCAGCCGGTAGAAAGTAATACATACCTGTATCATTTTAAACTCTGGCACTGCTTAACTCGTCTCAAAAAACATCTCTGCAGAGCCGAGCTGCAAGTTCTTGTGTGGCGTGTCAGGAAGGAAGGCTGTGCAATCAAACAGGCCTATCCCAACCATCAGTCTGCCCCGCAGGACACTACTGCCCTCCTGGTTCCTCAACTCCCCGGCCATGCCCTTCAGTCAGTATCTCCATGTTTTTTCGTCTCCCCCTTTCTTTAATGTATCCTTCTTAACAGAAGTGAAGACATTTTCCTTCTCACCTAACAGTAAGAAATGCTTTTGTTTGCATACGGTAAGTGGAAATTGGAACCCTTAATAGACCTTTAACCTGCTTAGAGCCTTTACAAATCTGAACCTGTATTCACAAATATTAACATAGTCCCATCAGAGAGCTCTGATTTGGACTAAAAATTCCTGGCAAAGACAGAAATGCTTAACTTAGTGAGGAGGTGTGGTTGACCCTGTTGCTAAGCGTATTGCTGTCTTCTAAGCGCAGTTGTTACAAAAAAAAAAATAAGAGCCCTTGCAGCAATCAATGGTGAGAAATTAACAGACTTTAGGATTTAGGCTGGTTTAAGAAATTTCTCTTGATTATGATACTTTCCTAAAATATATTAACCATCAAAATTTTAGCCCAATGTAATGTTTACTCATCAGCCTTTTTCCCCCCCCAACTATATCTTTCATTTAATATTAATGTGCAATAACCTGTGAGCATTTAAATTATTACATATGTGTTTGATTTTACATAAGAACTATAAAGTGGGACCTGAATTTGGCACAGCTCAGGTTAATGAGGTAATTTTGGTCACGGGGTCCTGGTGCAAACAAAAACATAGACTTGGTTGTGTTTTGTGAAGTGGATCAATGTACATTTCTCTCTGCTTTCACACACAAACCAGGAATGTGAGAATATATGTGAGATCTGCACCAAGCGTCCTACACTTCCATTACCTCTGTTATAACTCTGTCTAATACTGTTATATGCTGTAGCGTCAACTTATGTCGAATTTGCAATAACCAAAGATACAAATCTTAGTTTTATCTGCATCGCTAGGAATAAAAGCTAGTTTTGAATTTTGATGCATGTATGGTATCAAGCGTACAAATATCTATTATATTTTTCATTATGAATGCTGCTTATGCAGATGAAAAGTGATTCATCTGTTTTTTTAGGGCACCTACTCTGACCAGCTAAGTGGTGGAGATGTGAAGCATTGTCGACCATGTGAGGCAGGTTTGTTCTGTAGCAGAGCTGGCCTCTCCAAACCACAAGGTCTCTGTGACCCAGGTCACTATTGCACTTCTGGAGCCACCTCAAGTTCCCCAGTAAGTCCTGATAAGAATATTTAAAACTGTTTAGACTCAAGCTTTTAATTCACATCATATGAAAAACCTTAAGAACTCTTTTGACTTTCAGATGTCAGCCAATAATAAAAAAAAACTGGAGTGCCAACTTTGGATAATTTAATCCTAGTATTTATTTGTTTCACATCTCAAAAATCATGCAGTGCTTGTCCTCCTCTTCCTGTTTATTTACTACATTGTGTTTGTCTATCATTAAAACCCAAAAACATATATTATGGTTTACAGTTGTAATATGACAATGTATACACACTGGAAATACGATCTAGAAATAAGTAAAATATTCTTAAATTAAGTGTATTTACCCTTAGTTTGAGTAGGTGAATAAGATTATTTGCCAGTGGAATGAGTATTTTTACTCTTAAAATAAGATTATTAGATTTAATGCATTTGAAATAGGACAATGCAATAGTTTTTTTTTTCTTATTAAACATGTAAATTGTCTCGTACTTGTCTCTTTTATCTCCTCAGTTCAAGAACGATGCACTTATTTTAAGGAAAAATTGACTTATCTAGATTTCAATTTTTTCCAGTACACTGCAAAAAATGTAAATCAGTCTTTTTTTCCTGAAAATAAGGGACTTTTTTCCTTGAATGAGTACATAAGTGAGACGCTTTGCCAATGGAATAAGACAATTTACATTTAAAATAAGAAAACAAAAACAAAGGTAGTCTCTTATTTTAGGTGCATAATATTTAATTATATTATTTTAATTGTAACAATGCTAATTCCAGAATTCCATTTCATTTGCACACGTTTGCTTTGTAAAAATGTGATGGCTTGAAACGCACTATAAGTTTACATTAAGGACATTCTTAAAATGTATCGATGTCTTAAGTTTATTCGGTTTATTCCTTGAAGTGAATAAAATACCATGTGTGCTTGTTAACGATTTCAATTGTAATTCAGTTTTGCCAAAGTGAGATGATTTGTCAGCAAGGGAGGGAGCAAGTTGGGGGGAGTGAAAATAAGAAGAAACGGAATAAATAAGAGGCAGAAACGTCCTTCTTTAAGGACCTTATCAAGTTGCACATAGCTGCCCCAAATCTTCACCACATCTTACACATCTCTGCATTTATTTTCCTGTTGCTAACATACATACAAATCCACAGATCATGTTGCTCTGCAGGCCTTCATTTGAAAAAGCTGCTGATATTGCGAAGGAAATGAGTGACAGGATCCAACATTAAATGTCCACATCTCATACTTTAATAAAAAATGGAGATCAAACTCTGATGTGCTTTGATATTAAAAATGACTTAGTTTAGATTTTGGAGGATGTACGAACAACCAATCCACTTCGGTTTTGTGCTCTGAAAGTTTTTTGAGAAATTGCTATTTTATTTTTATTTATTACTCCTTCAGATAGCTGTAGCCACTGGTGACGTGTGTCCTGCCGGCTACTTCTGTCCACGGGGAACCAAGTATCCACAGCAGCACCCCTGTCCTATAGGGACCTGGAGAATCTCAGTCGGAGGCCAGAACCTGTCCTCCTGTTGGCCCTGCCCACCTGGATTCTACTGCAACAGCACTGGGCTCAGTCAGCCGTCTGGAATATGTGACCCTGGTATTCCTCTTTCCATCAATGAATACCAGTTTCCATCCAAGATGGCTTGCACTTTTTAATTGATGTCCTTTCAGAATTTAACTCATGTTCAACCAGTTGTTTATTTTACAATTTATTCATTTTGTTTTAATAGAGCAGGTTTAGAAGTATGTATTCAGCAACAATAATTTTACCTCACAATAGCAACACATGTTCATAGGTTCTTACCCCTGGTTTCGATAAAGAAAGGGATCAAATCAATAATGTTTTCTACAGTTTTGAACTGTTTTTGAACTTGTTAAAATGATTAACAAAATGTGAACAAACCATTATAGTGTTATTTATGAAAAATTTTAAACAAAAAATGAATTCGCTTGAAATATTGAGACCAGTCTTGTCATGATTTTTGTGACTTTTTTCTATCAATTCAGGTTATTTCTGCTCAGGAGGAGCAAAGTTTTCAAAGCCTTTTGATGGGTTGACAGGGGACATATGTCCGACTGGACACTATTGTCCCTTAGCTTCAGCTTTTCCAATCCCATGCCCTGATGGGACATACTCAAACAGTTCAGGTAAATTACATATTCATCAATAAAAAAATTTTAAAATACAGCGGCTATATATTCTTTTTAAAAAAGAAGTATTGTATTAAAACTCAGCTTTGTTTGACCACTTTATTTGTTTTTGTGAATATAGGAGCAGAGGTGTGCGTAGAATGTCCATCTGGGACATACTGTCTGTCTGGAGAGGATGTCCAGCTCTGTCCAGCAGGTCACTATTGTCTTGGTGGGGGAGTGGAAGGCATCTTGCCCTGCCCTCCTGGTACCTACAGCCCTCAGCTTGGTCTTCGTCAAGTGGAACAGTGCCTCATTTGTCCAGCAGGTGGGAGTGTTGTCCCATAGTTTTTAGCTTTCCCTTTCAACATTTCATTATTAAGCACATACAATTTGCTGCTAAAATGGAACTTAATTAAAGCTTGAACTTATAAAAATAAAGAGCAATAATTTTTATTTTTTTATTGTAATTCAAGAATTACAAAAGTATTATATTGTAATGAGAGTTTGTTAAGAGGACTTTTCATGCATTTAGCAATATTTTCTGTAGGTTCCTACTGTGATGATTGGGGGCTGTTTGAACCTACTGGACTCTGTCAGCCTGGATACTACTGCTTAGCAGGTAAAAAAACATATGGTGCCTCAAAAAATTAGTGTATAGTACACTGAAAAATTTCACTGTACTATATACTTTTGCATAAAATGAAAGGAAGATGATTCAAGTGTTTTAAAATCTGAAAGGTTTGACCCGCATCTTTTTAAGCATCAAAATAGCTGGCGCTCATTCATACTGGATGAATGTGAATAGACTATTTCAAGTCTTGTCACAGGTTTTTGTTTGGATTTGCATCTGGAAAGTGAATGAGCAATTCTGGAACAAGGGCATTTAATCTTATTAATGGCTCTGTAACTCTATCTCTATGATGAAAATTGTTAACTTGAATGAGGTGAACCTCTACCAAGGTCTCATATCTTTTTGATATCTGCAAACTGTTTAAGGCATCAGTTTAAAAACTCTTTCCTGTCATTGCCGGAAAAGCCTCCACAAAATGATGCTGCCATCACTGTAGGGATGGTGTGTACATGATGATTTTCACAGTTGCTTTTCCAGTCATTTCGAATGCACTGTAGGGCAAAAAAGTTCAATTCTGGAATCATCTAAGTAGAGGTACTTCTGCCACATGTTTAATATGTTTCCTACACAGCTTGTGGCAGACAGGACTTTCTTAGTGTTGTTTTTTCAAAGACCAAATGTAAGGAGTAAATAACCAAAATAAAATAAATAGAAAGATTTTCTCACCCAAGTTGCAAATCTATGCATCTCCTCCAAATTGGGCCTCTTGACATCTACTGTAGTTGTTTATCTAGCTGTTTATCTTGTTAAGTTTGCAGAAGTGAAAATAGCTTAGCCTATCTTAGTTGGTAATTGGGTGACTTTTGATGGTAAATATTTGTTCTAAAATTTTATTAGAGAGATTGAGTACAAATTGACGAAATAAAAAAAAAATCTTACACAACACAAATGTGCTGCTTTGTTTTAACATCTCTCGTGAAAACATATTTCATATTTTGAAGTTACAGATCAAAACTAACAAATGTGAAAAAATGTTCTGTTACTTTCACACATTTATAATCACATGCTCAGTCTTATTGCTAAAAAAAAAACACAACACTTGCTGCTCTAAACACAATATGATGCATAAGTATTTCTACTGAGTAAACTTCTCTAAAATGCTCATATTTACAAGGTGTAGACTCAGAGAACCCAGACGGCAACTTCAGCACCGGTATCGGAGGAGCATGTCCGCAAGGCAGCTACTGTCCTGAGGGCACCAGTGTCCCTCTGCCCTGTCCACCCGGGACTTACTCTGACAGGTTTTATTGGTCTAAAGTTTTAAACTCATTATTTTTCAGACGATTTACACTAATGCTGTTGGCGTTTCCTCTGCTTGCAGGCTTTACTTGACAGAAGCCTCTGGCTGCAGTCTGTGTCCAGGAGGTCAATACTGTGGCACTGCAGGACTAACTACTCCATCTGGTCTGTGTCAGGCAGGGTCCTATTGTCCAGGTGGAGACACAACTAGCACAGGTCAGAAGTAGGAATATTGATGTGTTTATCTTAGTTGGGAGATATATTTATGTTTGAAAAAGGCAGTTTTATCAGCTCTGAACTTCAAATTCTGGTTGGACCAAGAGGGGAATTAGGGAGTAAAACATTTGCCAAGTCTGTCAGGAAGCTAAATGACTGGCTTTGATAATCCCTGTTGCAACTGAAAGGACACAAACACAATAAAAAACAATAATAGTACTTTTGGCATGAAATTAAATACATGATCTCTTGAATGAGCTTCATTTAGGGGTGAAACAAGGGTTGGTAAATACAGGAAGCTCAAATTTATGAGGCTGCTCGCCAGAACAGGTGATTACTGCATTGTATTTAGATTCACCGCATTAAAGGCTAAAAGCAGTGATTGTTTTCTTCATCCTTCTATCACATTCAATTAAATCTCCTTCTTCAGGGTCTGAAGGAGGACTTTGCCCAACTAGTCATTATTGCCCCTCTGGAAGCTTCAGCCCAGTGGCCTGCCCAGCTGGAACCTACAACAACCTCACAGGTCAGCCAGCATGTTTCCGATGCCCAGCAGGATATTACTGTCCGGAGAAGACTGACAACTTCACCAACTTCCCCTGTCCCCCTGGGTTCTACTGTCCTGATGGTACTGTCATCTAAAATGCTCTCAGTCATCTTGAAAAACTGCAGGAGTAGAAGGCTGAACTATTTTTAGCTGATTTATAACGTCCACTTCAGTAAACCTGTTCTCTCAGCTTTGTTGGATTTTGAATATACAAATGTTTTTTTTTCTTTTTCTTTTATTTAAAATATGCAATACATTATGTGTAAAGGAACTAAGTATGCCACCCAGTTTCCTTGTCCTCGTGGATACTACAACCCAGAGCCTATGACTCAGAGTCTGGACAGCTGCCTACCTTGTCCACCAGGACACTACTGTGAGAAGGAACGGCTTACCAAAGTGTCTGGAAAATGCAAGGCTGGTGAGTAATGGTATCTTTGTTCATTTCTTCCAAGCAGATAGTCTAGTTTCTGAGTATCAGGGCTTTGTCCTCCATGCCATCCTGTTTTGGCTTCTGGGGAAGGCAAACCAGTCTGCAGAAGCTTGTACGACTAAAGAAGAGAACAAAAGCTGTGCATGAAGCGTGAAACATCACAGCAGAGGAAAGAATTTCAGCAGCAACAAAAGTTCTTGAATAATTCTTTGCATATCATTTATTAATGCACAAAGATGCAGAGGCAAATGGTCCTTTCCTCAGTCATATGTTACCCACATCCCTCATTTTGGAAATCAAACTACGCCTGTCTGGTTTATTAAGTCATCTCTTTCCTCGACTGTGACTCATCCCTTTCACCTTGCACTGTGTTGCTATTTTTGCCCTGCAATAATAGCAGCACGGCTGAATTTCTGGTTTTAACTCGTGCTGAGAAATGTTTCACCTGATGTCTGATTTGTCATTTGTGTTTTTTTGTTCCTCTCAGGTTGGTTCTGTGTGTCAGCAGCATGGAACTCTCAGCCCTTTGACCTTGATAATTACACAAACGCCAACTGTCTGTGCCCAGCTACCTCCACAGGTGGGCGCTGTCAAGAGGGCTTTTATTGTCCTCTGGGAAGCTCTGAGCCTATACCTTGTCCATCGGGAACCTTTTGTAATAAATCAGGTATTAAGATTTTCTTATCACCATAACAGCTTGTGCTAAATAGTTGTCATGGTGTTTTGCAAAGTTTCCTTCCTGAAAGTTTTTTCCCCATCTTATCATTTGCAGCCTTGAACTTATGTGCATTTTCATGGAAGTATGGCTCTCAAAGCACAGATGGTTTTCAAAGTTTAGTTTTAGCACTGGCTGTATATGTTTAGGCCCTGCAGACAAGTTGAACCCCACCTGTATTATTCAGTCTTGTACAGCCATATGGAGGTTTACATTATTATTTTTAGTTTATCTTCCCATCATCTTCCACCAGCTGCCTTTTTGGCACCAAAAGGTTCCCCCAAAAGGTGATTTCTTTCTTGATTACCTTCTTCCACATGTTGCTGTCTGTGCCTTTATCTGGAAGGGAATGTCCTGATAGGTTTGTAGTTGTAGCTCTGCAGTATTTTTTTTAGGGTTCAGCTCTGACCCTTAATGCAGTAGCTTCTCTCTTTTCAAACTAGGGAACTTCAGAGGGCAGCTGTTTCACAGTTTTTTCTTTAGAGGCATTAAAGTGGAAGGGGATGATTCGAAATGTGTGGCACACCTGATGCATTCCTTGTATTCAAGGAATTCCAAATATGTATGACTTTGTGTTGGTAAATGACACAAAATCTCAGTAAAAACATTCAGTTTTGTAATTATGTAATAAAAACAGTAAAAATAAAATGGTATAAATGGTTCTGCAAGTCGCTGCAATGCTATTGTGAAAGACTTACCTGGTATCACTTTAATAATCTTGTTTTAGCAGCCTCTATATTCCCTTGGTATGGTAAAGTAAATCAGGAAGTGATCAGATGCAGTGTTGAATTGCCTCCTTTTTAACAGCACCCTGATCTTTAGTTTTAGCAGAAAATCTTAGAGAAATGTTCCTTGAGGTACTGTAGTGCTCCAACTGCTCAGCAGTGCAAGACACCCTTTGTTGTTTTTCCCTCCAAAGTGCTTTCCTTTGGTAGCAGCTTTGGACTCCAGGCAGGCCAATTTTACACACAGCTCTGGCAAAGCTGCATACTTAGCTTCCTTTTGCATGCTGTTTTTAAGCTTTGTCTTTAATCATCCAAATGGCTGGTTACACAAGTAAAAATCCTTTTAGGATTCTATTTCTGTAACTAAACTGTGTTCCTTGTTTTCTTGAAGGATTTTTACAAGAGAGTGTTACATATAAGACATAAATGTAGAATTATTTGTTTTTTGTTATGGTGTTTAAGACATATTTTGTTGTTTGCAGACAGTACTTTATAGGGTACTTTAAACTTTTAAGTACAGAAATGTGTTGTTCAGCTATTTGAGCTGGAACTCCCTTTCTCTTGTAACCTTTATGTCAAGTAATTTGCATAAATCCCTTCATTTGGTGCTCCTAAGCATGGATAAATCCGATTCAGCAATGCCTTCTTGGTGGTGGCATCAAGCCATAACCTCATGCATAAATGCACCAACATACTTTACATCATCAATTCTTGAGCAAAGCACTAATTAATAGTTTGATGCTCTCTCTCACTCTGGAATAGCATGACTTCCAGAAGGGATTTTAAATTTTAATAAATTGTGAAAAACTTTCTCTAATCCTCTTATTCAACTTAAAATTAGATGATACCCCAGAAGGTTACAGCAGTAACAAACCTTTGCTTTTGTTATGTATCTTTGTTTGACTTCTGATCTTTAGATGATGAACCACTTGTCCCTCCCCTTATTGGTTAACAGTAAAACCATATATATCACAATCTGAGTAATTTAGAATTTCAATGGTTTCAACTTGATGGTTGTTATTGTCATAAGACAGTGCTAAGAAACAAAATATTTGAGCAATATTATATTATCTACATTAGTGGATTGTGCTCCTTTTGTGCAATGGCTCAATATCTAGATATGCTGGGGTTTCTATTTTCTCAACAGTCACAGAGTTTGTTCAACATTTTAGTTTCTGCCATGTAACTAAGAGTTCTAAGACTGTATTAAGAGATTTTATTTTGCATGATACACTATGACGGAGCTGGTACTATCATAGTGGTACTTAAGGTGCAAATATGGTTGTTGTTTAAAGACACTGATTTCAGTTTTTTTCCCCTCTCATTGAAAATAGTAACAATGGCTGTGATATTTAAGTAAATAGCTATGAAACAATTGCTAGGTTACGTTAATACCTCCGAAATCAGAATGGGCATCTGATAATGCTGCTCACCCCAATTTAATAAATATCTAGTCACAAAATAAAAAGAAAAAAATAATCCAGGACATACTCTATATTCCTGTGGACATCCTAGCTACTGCATTACTAAATAACAGCTGTGTATTTCTTTGTGTTTTATGCATTTAAGTATTAAATCAACATGTTCACTTCGATATAATACACAATATGTGTGAAAGAAAAAGTTTTCTTAAATAAATTGTCCTAATTCGATTTAAATAGTGGAATTACTGAGAATTGTTATTTTACTACTGAAGGATATTTCCTGTCTAAATCTGGAGCTTGAATGTTTGTACCTCTCTGGAATGCACAGTTACCGTAAATTAGCTCCTTTAGAGCTTTCTGGTCGTTTTCATTATTTGAAATTAAACTACTAAAAATCTTTTTCACTTCTAACTTAAGTCACTCTTAACCTTCTGTTACTATGGTTGTACTTGGAAATATTAGTTACACTTACCTGGATAAGGTATAAAAATTTTGGAAAACCAATGAGCTGCAGTAGTTCGTAGAAATTATGATGTAATGACAAAACATCCCCCAACTTATCCAAAGCTTTATCAGTTGTTTCTTAACACATATTTGATTTGGCAAGTACAGCTACAGCTACAGCTTTCTCAATTCAAATGTCTGGATCAGCAGTGAGTTTGAGTCTTATATGGACAAGGCCTTGTATTGCTTGGAAACATGCAATGGTAACTGATGAATGGGTCGTTTAGTTCCATCGTTAGCCTGTAATATCTGTACCTGTCTATGATTCTAGGGGTCGATCGTTAAAGGGGGGATTGCCATTAAGGGGGGGGGATTCTCTCCTGTAATACCTGAAACCTGTCTATGGTTGTTAAGGGTTGGTCGTTAAGGAGGTATTGTTCACCGGCTGG